GGTGGATGTTGGACTGGATTAAACAGCGATTTCGGCTTGGGCTAACAATACACAGGTTGGGGCGCCCATGTCTATGTTATCACGAAGGACAAGATAATCAAGAGGTTACTCAAGGGTATGTCTGCAAGTATCCAAAGTTTGAAAACATGACTAACACAATTCCTCGTCTTCAGGTCGGCAGGATTAAACCGGGGTTGGTATGACGGTGGGGGGCTAATGAATGAAACAACAAGATATTTGGATGGTGCCGATTTAAGCTTCATTAGACTCTACCTGGGCGTATTGAATGGCGAAATCGGACACATCCTTGATGACAACACTTGATATTGCAAACCTGAGCTTCTCCATGCACATATGGGATTACTATAATTCACAAGACCATTTCTCCACACGTGCCCGTACCATGATACCTGACCACCATGAGTGATAGACCGCCCGTGGCCCGTCTGGCAACTGCCCCGTGATATAACGATATCTGAATTTCAATTGCTCTCAAAGTCCATGTGATGTGATTCCCCTCAACCCAGTCTTAACTTGAGTTGATTTTCCCTCCACCATCCTCAAGCTCAAGTATAAAGGAGCTAACCGCCGTCCACTGGCCGCTCTGGGCCTCTCTGTTTTGCGATTATTGGTCGTTACCACGCTTTTGGTGACGAGCCATGAAAGATTTGGGGATCCTGTCAACTTGGTCATTTGATTGATGATTGAGGAGGGAGGGTTGGGGTCCGAGTTTACAAGACAGGTTCCACATCCACATCCGAATCCTGAAGGAACTGGGATTGATGAGAAGCCGACGATACTAGAAAACTACAACATCCATTATTACAAGCTTTCAACCCCTAGTCCACCAAGTAGATACGCCATAAAACATAAACTCAATGTATATATTACTCTCCAAAAACCAAACCAAACCAGATCAAATCAAATCAAAACGTTACACCGTCCCATCCCATCCCACAAGCGCCATTATCTCAATTCCTAGAACCCCCAAGCACATACTTCGCATCACACATTGCAGCCCAGTTCAGTCGCCCACGATATCCGAGTCGCCACCTCAAACCCCAACCCCGATATCCATAACCAACATCACCAACCCCCAACCCCTAAAACATGGTATCATATCGCATTACAATAAACGTTAACCCCAATTATGAAAATCATGGCGCAATAATCAAAATATATAAATAAACGAAGGCTTTAGCAGCTCTGCGGTTTCTTGCTCTCAATGAGTCCGTTCACCGAGTAGTAGTTTTTCATTTGGACCTTGGTTTTCTTGCCGGTCTTCTCGCTGAAACAGTAGCAGCCGTCTGCGGAGGAATTTGTCAGTTGGATCATGTCTCAGGTGTGAGTGTGAGAGCGGGAGGGGACAAACGTTGTTCAGCCCACGGAGGGGTGTAGATGTGCAGCGAGACGGCAATGTTTTCGGGGTCGGGGTTCTCGATCTTGTGGAGTCCGATCTGGGCGAGTCATTAGTTTTGAGGGTTCATCACTGACTGATTGACAAAAAAACTTACATCGTCGGAAATATACGTAACCTCGTCGCTGTTATACACCGTGGACCTCGTCACGGTTAACGGGGTATCAGGAACTGACGGCATCTCGTAAAGAGTTTCCTTCAGCTTCCCTTTCAACACCTATGGCCCCATTAGCCGGGCGCTCACCCCCCATCATCACCACCACTACTCTACACACCTTCATAATACAATGCGCATTCGCATGATCATGCACCAACGACCCCTTCCCCGGCGTCCACACCAGAATCAGCATATTCGCATTCCCATTCCCGCGGTCCACAAAGTTCCGTGTATAATTCCGTGACAGATCCTTATGTGCGTATTCCGCCCACTCGGCCTCGTGCGATTGGTATGAGCGCATGGCGGACTTGAGGTCGTTGACATCAATGTCGGTGCTGTCGAGACCGGAGGAGGGGCCGAGAATGTCGGTGATGGTGGAGATGAGGGATTGGAAGGAGTTGGGGGGGTGGGGATTGTGTTTGGAGCAGTGGGAGCCGGGGGGGAGGGTACAGTGGCTGGGGAGCTCGGGGGGGTTGAGAGGATGGGTGAGGGCCATTGGGGGGGGCATGTTTCGTCGTCGAGTGTAGTGTGAAAACGGATTGAGTGTTGTGAAGATGTCGGGGGGAGCTGGATAAATAGCGACTCGGGGTAGACGGCTGAGGAAGCTGAATACTGGACAGGCTGGCAAGTGTATATAGCTGTAGAAGATCAAGTCCGGGGGGGCGGCGCTGGGCTTTAACTATCTAACCTCCAGCGAACGAACGCTCGGCCACCTGCTCCCCAGCTCCAAGACCATAGCTCTCTCACACTTTCCTAGCCCAACCCCCACCCCCACACCGCTCTTCGACACCCAACACAGCTCGCCTGACGACCCATGAGCTCCCCCATCAAGCTTCCGCATATCACCCTCCAGCCTCCCCTCCCGAGATGCAGCCTGCACGCTTCAGCACAGCTGTTACGAAATAGTTAACGTTGCACATTCCTACGATCATTGGGGGTATGTAATTCCATCGGTGAAAGCCTGCTGAAAAGCCTCCGTCTCAACGGTATCCAGATTGCCGACTCTAGCCGTGGAAAACCCTCCGAGACCTTGTTGCCGCTTTGCTGCCACCATGCCACGGACCTCCGGACTCAAAACGGTATAACTAGTGGCGCAACTGCCATTGCCGGACGGCGATGGATCTCTTGTTGGCTTTTGCTTTGGAGGATAGATTGGCGGCCAGGAATCTAATCTGCCATGACTATAACTGGCGAACAACAACGAGTCATGAATGAAGCCCGGGCGGGAGCCTTCTTGGTAAGTGCATGCTGATATATACACCACGTGACCGGCTATTGCGTCTGTTTCTGGTATAATTCGAGTTAGCGGGTGCGCAGCCAAGTGGTGCGCGTTTGCTGGCCTGGAGCCTGGGGTTACAATCATGGTCTTCGAGCTCTGAATGGCATGGCTGGGCCAGTCATGGGTTGGGCTTTGGAGTTTACTATTACGCATCTACACTGCAGGCTTCCCGAATAGGGTTGCACAGACAAATGGAAACTGTTACCATGTCCTGGAAAGGAATGTAGAAAAGCTACAAAAGTATGGCGGTTATGTGCTGATTCCGGGCCCTTATTCGATGACGTTGAAGTTACCAAACTTTTGAAGTCCCAAAGGTAGGCTGATTCGCAGTGGTGGGACGGCCGATCCAACAGTCTCATTCAACAAACCAAGGCTCCATATACTTTCGATGGAACACACATGTTTTAACGGAGATCAATAGGGCGTGTTTAATTCGTTCGGCTCCTAGCTAATGGAGAGGATCGCCTGTTCATTGGGACATAGATATCACATTGGTAGACGAATGACATCCGAGTGATATTGAATTTTAACCGCGCCGAAAAACAATAAAACAGCATAAAGGTTACAGAGAAAACCACACCACACATAATCCCATCAGCAACCGCGCGTCCCCATTCTTGCCTTGATATCAATGCCCTGATCATAACAGTAACATGTAAGCTGTGATGGCCACTGCCGCTTACAACTCCTTCTTAGGCTCCTGAATCTGGCCGGCCTTCTGGAGTCTCTCGTAGCGGTCCGAAAGCTCATTGTACTCGCGGCTCAATCCCTCGGCCTGAGCTTTGATAGCCTTGATCTCTTGGTCTTTCTTCAACAACAAAGCACTGTCTCCTCCCTTTCCGGCAGTCGCACGGAGCTGCTTGTTCTGTTCCTCGAGACGAAGGATGTCGAGAATAAAGGTATAGGTGCGGTTGAGGATGAGGGAAAGGAAGAGGGTGAAGCCACAGAGATACCTGAGCAAGTGTCAGTATATACGTCGAACATTCTGCCGTGAGCTATGGTCCTTACATGTTGCGCTGAGAGTAGAACTTGCGAGCCTGGACCTCCATCCTCTCGTGACCCATAACACCTTGTGTCCGTCCACCATCACGAGAGCCAAAGTCCGAGATTTCGCGCTGCACACGATAGACGCGATTGACCGAATCGATGAAAAGGATCAAGATGAATATAAACGTGATCTGAGGAACAGAAGGTTAGCTCAGTATGAGTATCGGGAGTGATTGTGGGGACGAACCTTCATGCCATACTGCAGCTTTGCAATCACCGGGCTCGTCGAGATGAACTCGAAGATTTTCTTCCGCCATGTGAAGGGCAACGGGAAGATGAGGAGCATGAATATGGACATTTCTGTCACTAAGAGGAAAAATACCTAAAGCACAGCGGTTAGAATCCGTTCGAGGACTGTGCCCGTTTCTGTTGAGATGGCCTCAAGCAGTTGGACTTGCAAAACTGTCACGTCGCGATGGAATGACCTACTAAGGTGTAGTAGAGCGTCATTGTAGCTCGATCGTTTGAGAGTCTGAGCTAGGTTGTAATCGTTGTGGAGGTAGGAAGTTTGGGATTGTTCGGGGGCGGTCGAGATGGCGGTGATTGTTTCGAGCAGGGCAAAGGTACGCGTGTGAGGAATTTAAGGGAAAGAGGAGAGGAGGAGCTGGAATCTTGAACCACATCAATTGGACCCCTCAGGCTACCTTGGCGCGGCTTCTACGTCACCCCCGCGCAGCACATGATAAATGTGGCTGTGGCATGATACGTGTGGCTGGTGCATAGCTATGTTATTGGATGATTTTTGAAGTGGACACATCTCTCGTTTCTTTCTTTCACACGATACTTATCGGCTTCTTCTTCGGAAGAACAGAAGCCGGTACGCCCGTATGTTGTTGTATCAGTTGTTGACGGATGATGTGGTGAATGGAGATTTTCCAGCATCACGTGAGCCTGAAGCTTGACATTGCCAACCACTCCTCTGTCAAGACGCCCACGCTTCCAATTTCATAATGGCTCTATTCCGCACATACACATTCTTATTATCTCTGGGATGCTTATCTGGACCGACTGTTTCGTTACAATGCTTTGCCAAGGCTATTAATCGAGAATTCTATTGGAATACAAATAAATATGCTAAATCAGCTTAAGATTTCAATAAAGGCTTCTTGGTGTAGTGGCTATCACATCTGCTTCACACGCAGAAGGTCGTGAGTTCGATCCTCACAGAAGTCAAGCTTTTAGTTTTTGCACGGCTCCCTGCATTCCGTATTCAATGCAAGTGGTTCATGTTGATAACCGGACTTTTTTTTTCTCCCCGAACCATCTGGCGTCATGCTGGTCACAGGCAACAAGCTCGACTTGAATTCAATGAACAGAAGGCACAAATATTTGAACAAGCAGACATTCTCTTGGTTACTCAGGGAAAAGGCTTCGTCGACCACAGTGCATGGATGCAATTCGCTGCCAATATATTCAAATACAAACAGATCATCATCTATCAAGGTATCAATGTCCACATCTATAGCACTAATTCTTCACGGCCTCCTCTTGCAACTCCCGTCCCTTCTTCCCGTCCTCAAGCCCATCATCCTCTCCCTCCACTTGCACCCTTCGCCCGTCCACACCCTTCTTGACCTCCTCTACTAAACTCTCGATGTACTCCTTGTCCTCTCCCACCAAAGTGACTGTATTCCTCTTCTCTCCCCACCTGGGATAGCTCCCCACCTTCACGCCCCGCGATTCAACCCTCTTTTGCAGTTCCGTCAAAAACTCCGCCACCTCACTCTCTTTTTTTGGCGTACTGATAATCACCCTAACACCCTGATTCCCCGTCAAGCGTCCCTCCTGATCCCATTTCTTCCCCAGCCCCTCTACGAGCTGCTGGAATATCTTTGGGACCCCTGGAAGAACATGGACATTACCCCCGACCACAGCCACAGGCACCCACACCGAATCATCCACATACAACACATTACACCCTTCTCCTGTCGGGAGCTCAGACATCCTTAACCTCGCCTTCAATGTCGCAGACGGCGTTTCCCAATCAAAGTCCTCTCCGCGCTCTTTTGACTTCTCGGCCATCCGCCGCTTCGTCTCCTGGTGAAGTTCTAGTGGGACATTAAATGCCTCCGCAAGGGAGGGATAAGTAATGTCATCATGAGTAGGGCCGATGCCGCCGGAGGTGATAACAATGTCGTGGGCGGCGGAGAGTGCGCGTGCAGAATCAATGATGGTCTGGCGGTCGTCGGGGATGGTTTCGATCTTTTTGAGGTTGATCCCGCGAGCAAAGAGAAAACGGGCGAGGTAGGGGGAGTTGGTATCGACGGTCTGAGGGAGGTGGGGTTAGAGAGGTGGGAGCTGAAGAGGAAGGTGATGGTTGCAGACCTTGCCGTTGAGGACTTCGTCGCCTATGATGAGGCAGGCGGCGGTGTGGATTTGGCGGGGTTTGGAAGACATGATGGAGGGGGACGTGTACAGGTGGTGGCGGAGTTTGGTGAGACGGGAGAGCATCAGGCAGGAGGAGGTGGGGAGCTGTGTCATGCCGAGTTCAGGGCACAAGGTCGGAGCTCACGCACGAACCTGGAATAAGCTCAATTTCCAATAAAGTTCGTCAAAGCTCGTTCAATCCGGAACAATAAAAATATTGGCTTGAGATTGTATTCTTTGGCATCAACACTTGCAAGGTGGCAGTTCCTTGAGCTTTGAGGACGCAAGATGCCCCTCCTTCACCCTCCAGAACCGCCGAGAAAGCCCCACCACTACTCTACGTCACCAAAACTTCCTCCTTCTCCTCCTCCTCTTCCTCCTCCTCCATCACCATTACCATCACACTCACACCCCCATCTTCCTGCACCTCCCCCTACACAATTCTTCACCCCTCGTCCTTCAACAAATCATGTTCGGGTGTATTTGCGCCGGCCGCCCAGGTAACTCCTCTTCCTGTGTTCCTCATTCGGAACCACCAGTTAACCACTCGCAGTGCAAACGAATCTCCAATCCCTTTCTCCTACTCAACATCTTTTCAACCTCCCGTCCCCGAGTACCATAAACCATCTCGTCGTCTTCCTCCTCCCCGATACCCACCTCCCACCCACCCATGTTGCCACCGTCCACCTCAAACTCCCCTCATCCCCCGGCTTCCAGCTCCTCGGCGCCATTTCCGCTGGAAAACCTTCCGCCATCTTCCGGACGCGGCATCTTGCGCAACTAGCCAATTCCAATAATATGAATCCGGGACAAGAGCAAGAGGCGATTTTGGGCATCTCGATCGAAGAAGTGGCTGTTGCGGAGGCGCAGTTGAGCACATTAGCGAATCAGGGTGCCGCGGGGAGGGATAATGGGAGCACGCTGAGGTTGGCGAGAAAGATTATCGAGAATGCGTTCAACTTCTTGAGTAGCTTTGCGGAACCTGCACCTGGTGGAGAAGTCGTTCGGATCAAGGCGTTCCAGGATTGGTGGAAGAAGTTTGAGAAGAAGGTTGAGATGGATCCTGCGTTTTTGGAGCGGGAAGGGTAGCGTATAGGGAAGATCGCGAAGATGGGGAGAAAATAATGCGGTAATAAGGGGAAGTGAAAGGGATATTAGGGGATATAGGAAGGATTTCTGAGATGATATTGTGACAATATGGCGCATGGCTGGAGTTCAATGGAGTTTAGCGATTGTTTGTGCATAAAAGCGAGAGAATTTCACCAAAATTTTGGGATGTTATTCTTTTTGAAAGTAATCTCCGAAGTCTCAGAGCACGAAATTGATAACGTGAATTTAAGAATTATAATAGGGTAAAGGCCAATTTCATCAGTTAGAGCATGATATCCAAACACCCCATCTGTGGTTCAGCTCCCCTTCAAACCGATAACCGATCTTTATTCACCAATCTAAGCCATAGCCACTTTCCTCCCTTAACCGTCCGTAGTAACCTTCCTCCCTAATCCTCCATAGCCACATCGCCATCTACATCTACATGCGTACCATTATCTGCATCATTATTGACATATTGATCCTTACCCTTTGCTTTCACTTCACCTACATCATAGACATCTTTAAGCCCCAGCTCAATCTCCTCTTCCTGAGCAGTACCCTCGTCGTCTAATAGTACCCCGTCATCATCATCCACAAGCACATCCCCGGGCCTACCGGCCTCATCCGAGTCGCTAGCATAGACCACGCACTCATCACAGCGGGTACACATCTTCATCTCCCGGAGGCCTCGTACTTGCACCTTTTCATCTTCAGCGACTTTCCACGTCTGAGCGAGCTTCAACTCATTCCTCGCGGCCCTCACCATGCCCTCCAACATCTTCCTCTGCACCTTCTGATACTTCTCCAGATTCTCCGCATCATCCATCATATCCCAATCAACCTCCTCCTTCTCCTCCTCCTCATCCGGGTTCTTACCCCCCTCCTCCGCCTCCCTCTTCTTCCTAATCCTCTCAATCCTCTCCGCATCCCTCTCCCTCTTAACCTCTGCCATCTCTTCTCTCTCCCTCTTCTCTCCCACCTCCCCCACCGGCACCGGCAATCCGAGCGCCCTCATCGCCATCCTCAACTGCTGATTATCCACACTATGTTCCCACACCGCCCTATCCACCCTGATCCGCGCCCTCTCATTCGGATTGTCGGCCTGATAACGTCCGAGCCAATCACTCCGGTGCGACTTGGGGTGCAGTTTGTTCCCCGCGCAATGTCCATACTGGCGGACCGTGCCGTCGGCATCCCAGTTGTATTTGGGGGAGCCGATTTCGACGTCTGAGTCGAGGAGCGTGGTTGGGGGCTCATAGTCGCCTGGGAGTGGGGAGTTGGGGCCGGTTTGGGGGATGCGGTCAGGGGATTCGGGGAATTTGAGCTCGTAGGTGAGTTTGGCGGTGTCTTGGGCGTTGGCGGTGCTGTTGGTATTGATATTAGTGTTGGTGCTCGTCATCGGCATGATGTTGAGGTTTTTGGGTTTTTTTGTTTTGGTGGTTTTGGTAGTGGTCTTCTTGGGATTGGAGGAGGCGGGTTGTTTAGTGGTTTTATTCTTCTTCGGTGTTTGCTTGTTCTTGCTCTTCGTTTGTTTTCCCGCATCTTCACCCTCCTCCTCTTCCCCCTCCGCTAGATTCTCCTCATCATCATCATCCAGCTCCATCTTATCTCCCTCCGCCGCGCCTTTTCCATTCTTTCCAGTATCAGCCTGGTACTCGGAGCCCTCGCTCTCCGACATCTTTTCCAGAAGCTCTTCATCCACCTCGTTGAGATCGCCGTCGTTGTTGTTTTCATTGTAGCTGACCTGTTTCCGGGTACGACCGCTGCGGCGGGTTGGAGTTGGGGTTTGGTCCATTTTTGTAAAATGAAATATCGAGAGACTGGGTTGATGAGAAGTGAGGATGATGGATATATCGAGAGGCTAGATAGATTTAAAGCGAGAGTGACATGGAAATGTTTTTTTTTTTGTTTTTTTTTTTGGGGGGGGGGGAGTTGGAGAGTGAAAGCCATGTACTTAATGGGGTGTTAACATTCCAGATGGGATTTGGGGGGGTGGGGGATTGAATGGGCAATGGACTTGAAACTGTGAGAATGTCATTGTGTTTCGACTCTTGTCGAGAGTTATGACAAAGCCTGGGACTGGAATGTCAGTATGTCACCAAGAATCTCAGCTTGAGCATCACACATTCTGATGTCTCATGACTGGATCAAGTCAACATCAACATTCATTATCCCATTAACTTTTTTCCCGCACCTATTGCGGCATCATATGACCATACTTTTGCAACACATACTCCATATCCTTATCACCTCTTCCACTCAGATTCACCACGATCCTCTCCTTCCTGCCCTCCTCAACCGCCTTCTTCGCCAGCTTCAACGCATACGCGATAGCATGTGCGCTCTCCAAGGCCGGGATGATACCCTCCTTCCTACTGCACTCGTAGAACGCGTTGATAGTCTCCTCGTCGGTAGCTCCGGCGCCCTTCTCCGTTCGGCCAACAGTGGCAAGGTATGCGTGTTCGGGGCCGACAGAAGGGTAGTCGAGGCCTGATGCGACGCTGTGGACGGGGCCGGGCTCGCCAGCTTCGTCTTTCAGCATGATTGAGGCAAATCCGTGCATGGTACCGGGTTCGCCTTTGGCGATTGAGGCGGCGTGTTGGCCGAGTGCGGAGCCGTTGCCGAGGGGTTCGACGGCGTGGAGTTTGACGGAGGGGGTATCAATGAAGGGAGTGAAGAGACCCTGTGTTTCATTGTATCAGAATGTATGTAGA